GCACAACATGAAGCTGAATCCCGCCAAATGTCGGTTTACCGTCGCATTCGTAGAATTCTTGAAATACCTCGTCACCTACCGAGGGATTGAGGCCAACCCGAAACAAATCATGGCGCTATTAGAAATTGTGTCCCCTAGGACGAAGCGTGAAGTACAGTGGCTGACCAGGAGAGTCGCGGCACTTAACCGCTTCATCTCGCGATCAACAGATAAATGTCTCACTTTCTATGATACTTTGAAGGGAAACAAGAAGTTCGAGTGGTCCGAGAAATGTGAGAAATCTTTCCTACAGCTAAAGCATTACATAGCTACTCCGCCAGTACTCGCGAAACCAGTAGAAGGGGAACCGCTATTCCTCTACATCGCAGTGTCAATAGCGGTCGTAAGTGACGTCCTCATCCGGGAAGAACACGGCGAGCAAAAGCCAATCTTTTACGTAAGTAAAACTTTCCTGGATGCAGAAACGCGATATCCGATGATGGAAAAATTGGCATTAGCGGTGGTAATGTCGGCAAGAAAACTAAGAACATATTTCCAATCTCACACTATCATCGTACTCACTTCATTCCCTCTCCGCACGATTTTACACAGCCCTTGCCAGTCTGGAATGTTGGCAAAATGGGCAATCGAGCTGAGTGAATACGACATCGAATATCGGGCAAAGACTTGTGCGAAATCACAAGTACTCGCGGACTTTTTAGTAGAACTCCCGACAGAAGGCACACCCAACCAGGAGGCGAACTCGACCTGGACCCTATACGTTGACGGATCCTCGTTTAAACAAGGCTCCAGAATCGGTATTCGACTCGCGGCCCCAACGGGAGAGGTGCTGGAACAATCATTTCGATTAGTATTCGACTCCGGCTTGGCGAGCTGACCGAGACCGAGTCCTCGGCTTGGCGAGTTGTCCTTACCGTCCGCGCCATTGACCGCTGGTCGGCTGGACACAAGGCATATGTCCTTCGACTTAATCATACTCTGAGCCATGGTTGGAACATCTCTCTCGTCTCGATCCGTATTATCGTTGGGACTTTACGATAAAAACCGCTAAAGATTTGTTTTCTCGTAAAGAGTCGAGTAAACCATATAAAACGGCAACGGTTAAACAAAACACCGATGGTTACCAAACTAAACGATTGACTCGAGATGTTTTATAAAAACGGCATCGTATCATGGAACGATCCCGTCTAAAATCGTAAAACAGCTAAAATGCAAAACGGCCCGAAAGGTCCTAAAACATGATAAATACCCACTTACGACTTTAGACAAAATCCAGCCCAAAAATATGATGACGGTTTACCCATTATTCGCAGGAATAGATAAATTTCAAGTTTGTAGATAAGATAGAAGTTTTCCAAGGATAAATATGAAGACCGAGATAAATGGAAGATTTCCGATAGACACGAATCGGGGCAGAAAAGGAGAGACCAAATCGCTTAGAGGAAGAGTATATAAGCACAAGGTCGAAGCCAAGAAGAGGAGAACTTTTTAGACCTAGATATACGGCTGTGAGCTTAGACGAATTTAGGATTTAGGCGGCTAGATTAGCAAGTCGGATACTTAGAAAGTTTTGGTTGTTTAAGCTTCTTAATTCTCTTTGTTGTAATAGCTCTTGATCTTTTGATTCGTCCTTATATTAATAATAGCCATTGCGTAATATCTTCATCTATATTCTGTTTATCTTGTTGTTGTTTTAGTGTGTTTCCGCAGAGATCCGGGACCTTGGAGAATTAGAGTTTTTCCTAAGAGCTTTTATTTTACGGAAAACGACAGTGCCAATTTCGGTTTCCACACACCATGTATTGAGTTTGAGTACTGCATATAGATCCATTTGTTGTGATAGTACAAATTTTGAAGACTATTTAATACAAAACTTATCAAAAGTTCAGAGTACTGCAAATAGATTCATTCGTTGTGGTAGTACATCCTATATTCAAGTGTTACGAGGAGACTTACATCGTGTGGTAGAACCATTGTCTGTAAAATTATTCGTCAATATTGCATATGTTGTAATATCGTAAAATTATCATTCGTGAAATTGTTCATCAATATTGCATATTTTACAAATAATTAATCCCTTATAAACTATTTTAAAAGCATCATCACGTTTGTGTTATTGATGTCTTCATTAGAATGATTTTTAGAGTTACGATAAAGAAATATTTATGTTACGATAAAAAAAATTGTATATAAATAATTTATTTTTTTAATTTTTATTAATATTTTAAACATGTGAACATTAATTTATTTTATTTTTATTTCAACTGATATTGTATTCACTTTAAAATATTTGTAAAATTATTATGTCCGCACGTGCGGACAAAACACCTAGTAATTAGTATTATAGTACTAAAAATCTTCTTTTTCTTCTATTAAATAAAAGTACTAAAATACCTAATGTGATTTAAAATATATATGACAATTAGAGAGATTGAATAATAAATATTTGAAAACAAGTTACTTACCCTTTACTATTTTTCAGTTTTATATTATTAAAATAAATTAAGCAATCACATTAATCGTATAATAGAGTTTTAATTTTGCATATATATTTTATTTTGAATTTTAAAAACGATTAAATTATACTTTCACACTAACAACTTTGTGATTAATAGTTAAAAACTTCATTGTAAAGAATACAAAGATCATAAAAGATTCGAATAGAAAACTTCGTTTAATATATATATATTCGTTTAAATTAACTTATATATCATATAAAATCTATAATTTTAGTATTTCAATTAACCTTTGAGATATTTTGTATATTGTTACTCCGCACAAAGGACATGGTCCAACCTAATGTAATAGAAATTAAAATTATATGATGATTTGACCAGTGATAAAAAAGAAAAAACTTCCTCATCACCATCTATAATAAGCCTGTGACACCTTTTATAACCTGTCTCTGAAATGTCTCCAACAGAAGAAAGCTGAATTGATGATTTACCGCTAGCAAGTCTCTTGACGTATTCTTCTCATCCACTGCATTCATTCTTCTTCTTGAATCCTCCTCTGATCTTTGATAGAGGTAATCAACACTGCATCCTCTTCTTTTGTCTCTTATACTCGAAGCCTCAAGCTTTGGCTCTATACTAGGAACTCTGTTGACGTTTGCTCTTTGCCATTATGATCATATTCATCTAAACTATTAAAACTGAAGTACAAATGAATATTCACCCTTAGTTTTTCTTAATAATTACAATTCTATATAACTAGCCTTAAACATAGTAGTTTTGTACTCTTCTTAACTTAATTATTTTCTATACCTAAATACATTAAACCATCCCATTTGATACACAATCTTATTAATTAAATTAGACCATCACATATCTCATATCATCATTCGTAACCAATACTCCAGTTTTAATAGTTGACCAACTGACACATACCTTATATTATTCCAATCCAATACTCCATTAAACCTATGACCAATAGTTTTTTTTAATTATCTAACCTATTACAAAACAAACTAAACGATTCATCACGATTTCTTAAAATATTCTAATCAATATTAAAGTTTATGATTTTATATTTTTTTCTCAATTTCTATTTTATCTATATTATTTTAGATTGTGCATACCAACATTTTGTATGTTGACTAATCAAGGTATGGTTTACCTAATTTATGGTTTAGCAAAGTAATGGTTTTGTGAATTTTTGTTTTTTTTTCTGTGTACAAGATCAAAACTAACTATGATATTTTCCGAATTTATTCTTTAGCTAATTTATGGTATAGCAAATTTATTGTTTGGTGTATTTTTGATTTTCCTATGTAAATCAAAACTAAATATGCTATTTTCCTTCCGCAACTTACTACCATTCAAAAAATTATTCCTATTTTTGCAATTACTATTAACTGCAGAAGATCATACCTATATATTTGTTTCTTCAAAAACATAACAACATCCAAAATTGTTTTCCTATTTTTAGGCAGTCACCTTATCAAAAAAAAGGATATCAATTAAATAACACAATCATCATATTCTTTTAATAAAACTTCCAAAATACGTATTCCTTATATGTAGAAACGATATTATGTTTTTATTATGGTATAATTAAAAAGGAATGTATATAAATTAAATTAAAATAGTATATTTTCTTGATTTTAAAATCACAACTAACAAAATATTTTGAGTTTATCCTATTTAACCTACCTATCCCAATGTCAAATTTGATCGTGAATTCGCGATATCCTTCATCCAAAAAATCTGAACGCAAACATAAACATGGCTAACCTAACAACTTTTTATCCTCTCACAAAACATAATATGTGTTAAAATAAAATAAAAATATAAAAAAATAGAATATATGGATGATCCAATAAGAAATGTTATATATATCCACAAGTTATATAAAACACAAAAATAATATGGTAAAAGTTATACTCCCTCCGTTTCAAATTATATGTCATTCTAGAGTAAAAATTTTGTTTCAAAATAAGTGTCGTTTTATAATTTCAATGCAAAATTTATTGATTTTAAATGTCATTCTATTTTTTCATTGGTTGAAAAGTGGTTAGGTGTATAGGTAATTGTGTTTTTATTTTGAAAATATGTAAAATTAATTGTTTTCTTAATCTGTGTGCAAAAGCATAGAATGACAATTAAACTGAAACGGAGGGAGTATATCTATATTATTAAATATTAATATAAATTACATTTTTTTTGAAAAATACACCCGCGGTTACAAGCTAGTTGTCTATAATTTCAGAGTGTTCACTTTGAGATTCTCAAAGATCTGTACCATGTTCTTGTCCTTGCAGCCTACAATGAATGTATTTGATTTAGTTAGGATCAACTTTGTTGGATAGCGCTTCAATCCGATTCTTTTATCCTCCCGGTGGGGTTTGCTCTAAGAACTAAAGATTCTTGCAACAACTACAATGGACATGCTTATTGGGATTAAATCAAAGGCTTCTTGATAAGGTTTTTGATGATAGTGGCACCAAAATCACAGGCAGGGGCATAAGGTACTGTAACTACACACTTCTGTTTAATCATCTGATTCTCAATTCAATAATGAGCGTATTGAATGAAGGTAGGAGAGCAGGCAAGTTAACATCAAAAATTGCAATTTCCAAACAAATCTCAACAAGACCTGTCTACTACAAAGTACTGTATTCAATATCAGAAACAACGGAGACAAGAGAAAAAGAAAGTGGTGACAAGAAAAACAAAATGTGTTTCTTTTGGGAATGAAAACATTATGAAATCTGACTTTGCTTGATTAGTTAGATTCAATATGCTTCTTGACGATGTTGAGTGCTGTTGTCTCCTCACCGTAATCCTGTTAGCAGTAGACCAGCACGAATTAATCACCGGAGACACAAGTCAAACACACAAATAATGAGACATGTAATTAGAGACTCTTTACCTTGACTACAAGGCACGAGCATCCAACAACCTTCCTTGCATTGCCCTCTGAATCAATCTTACAAAGCTGCAAACATATTCAGAATTATTAATATAGAAAGTCTTGAACCAAACATTCCCTAAGAGAATAAGAGAACTATAAGCCAACTACTTACACCAGCCCATTCACCGAGGGTTTTAGCACTTGGAACAGTGAGCAAGTTGATGCTGTGATCAGCGCAAAGAGCTTTAACCAGCTTCACGTAATCAGGCTGGTTGCAATCTTCAGCCAAGACACAGAGATGAGCAGAACGCTTCTCAATAAGCTTAGCGCTTGCATGGAGACCACGAACGACACCACCGTGAGCACGAGCTTTCCTTAGCGTCAACTCCAATGCAGTCAACAGATCCATGTCCTCTGGAATGGCAGCTGCCTCAGCAACCGGAGGAACAACAGCAGGAGCAGCAGCAGCTTCATCACTTAAAAACAAAAAAGAGAGGAAAGAAAAAAACACTTTATTATTAAAAAAACAAAAGATTATGCAATTAAGCAATATGATTATGAAAACTAAATTATAAAAACATGAATCTACAAGCCCTAACCTTCAGCCCTGGTTCTGTGATTAAACCTAAATTAGTACATACACAAGTCCTAATCTATAAACTTAAAAATGAATTTACAAACCCTAACCTTCAGCATTGGTTCTATGTGCTCAAACCCAAATTACAACATGCACAAGACCTATCTATAAACTTGGAAATGAATCAACAAACCCTAAACTTCAGTATTGACACTATATGCTTAAACATAAATTAAAAATGAACAAGACCTATGTATCAAACCTAAAAATGAATCCTGTAAACACTAAACTACAGATCAATCACAGGTTCATTTTGAGAAATGTAACAACATAGCTACATCGAAAGAGAAGCTTACCCAGACATGTTGAATTGCCTTGGAAACTAAGAAAAGCAAAAGCTCTTTTTAAATCTGCAAATAAAGGTAAAAATCATTCAATCCAAAAGTGACTTGTAATGAAGCGAAACAGGTGTCACCAAGAAGAAAGCTGAAGAGTTACGAACAAGACACAGATCGAAATCGTACAAAATAAGTAATCGAAAGCTGTTTCAGACGAACCTTAGAGAGAGGGAGAGAGGCTACAAAGACGAGGTGAAGGGATGCGAAAATTGAGTGATGAGTTTATATATTTAGGGTTTACTGAAGACGCTACTTACAAAGATTTTGACATGTTTGTTGCAAACCTGGGCCAGTCTAATGGGCTTATTGTTTTTACAGATCTTCTGCGGACCTGAGCCGCTATAATATACGTCTTTTATTTCGTTTGTTTTGAATATTCATTAAAAATATACCGACTAATTTTTATTTACTAATAAAATACACAATCTATTTTAGATTTCTGTTTAATACACAAACTAATTTATGTTGCTTATTAAAAATACACAAAATTTTGAAATTAACAGATTTACACATCAGACGGCGTCAACTATATTTAACAAAATTGAAGACAACATTAGTGTTAAATGAAACACATGTTTAAATTATGGAAAGAAAATTCCTTAAAAATATACGAACTAATTTTAATTTGCTAATATACTGTTTAAACTTTTTTGGATCTATGTTTAATATATGTACTAATTTTCGTTTTTCACTAAATACATAAATTTTTGAAATTTGTAGATTTTACACATTAATTTAGACATCATCAACTATATTTAATACGATTAGGGTGATGTTAACTATGTTTAACAGAAGTGAAGACGATGTTAGTATTTTGTTAAATATATGGTTAAGTTGTGAAGGAAAAATTCCATAAAAAAACATCCTATAAGATTATATTGTTAAATTTTTTCTCTGTTACGCTTCAATAATATAATTAACCCTGTTTCAATCATTATCAATGCAATCAAAGTGAAGAATAGGCCTGGCATTTGAGTACCGGATCGGGTTCGGATTGGGTATTTCGGATATCGGATATTTTGGATATGGCAAAATAGGATCTGATCGGATATTTCAAAATTTCGCATCGGATTCGGTTCGGTACCTGTCGGATCCGGATAGTTTCGGGTATATCCGAAGTAACCGAAAAAATCCGGTTCCGGTTCGGATTCTCTTAATTTTACCCGATCATAACCAAAAAAATATTTGTTTCTAATCCGATTTACCCGAATCATTTAGAGTAAAAAATAAATGAGAGAATTCTAAAACCAAATAGAATAAGTCTTAAACAAATTTCAAACAAACAACAAATCTAATATTTCAATCAAAGATAACAACCCATCACTTTAAAAAGCTACGAAACTTAAAGAATAATTGAAAGTTCGAAATAAATCTATAAGAAAATGTATAAAAAGATATCAACAACATTTGGTATACTGCTAAACGCATTTCACCTACTTTAAAAAAAAGTACGATCACAAGAACTTCAGACATTTACAAGAGAAATACCATGTGAATCTATGTTTAATGCCGTAACGAGATAAGAATCGGATACTTTCAGATAATTATTCGGATTTCGGGTAATACCTGATCCGACCCGGTACCCGAAACATAAATAAAAGCATATCCAATCGGGTATTTCGTCATATCAGGATCCGACCCGTAACCCGATTTTTTCGGATCGATACCGGTTCAGATCTTCGGATCCGGGAAATATGCTCGGACCTAGTGAAGATTAAGAATCAGAAACACATAATACCAAACTAATTCCAAAATCAGAATTTCTTTTAAAATTACTTTGTTTTCTTTGTCATTTTCACGATATGGAGATCTTATGAATCATATCTTCTATAATATAAGTAATCTTGGGTGAACTTATGAAGTTGGTAAAATTGTGCCTTGATTTCTGCCGCTTGTCTCCCAAATTGGCTGATAGATCAAATATAAATTTACATTTTTCTATACATAAAAATTTTCTCGTTAAACTTTAAGATTGTAGATAATCCTCCTATACATTAAAAGAGAAGTCACTTTGACACGTGGCACTCATACAGCCATTCTCAGAAAAATTCTAGTGATTCTATTGGTTGATTTTTTATAATTTATTTTTTGATTTATTTTTACCATCGACACTACTAAAAAGGAAATTCATTTAAATACTTACCTTTTGTGTTTTCACGATTCAAAGAATATCATTTTGCGATCCTTTCTCTGTTTAATTCATTAAATACGCATTAAATATTTTAGCTCGTCACACTTAAGAAAAACATGTAGCATTATGTCTTCTGAAATATATATACGAATAAATACCCACCAAAAAGCCGCATTCAATTAAAAATTATTTAAATTAATCGTGGCTAAAATCTTACCTTATTACAATATTTGATTATACATTTCTTGCGCATGTTAACGTATCTAATTTATTTGATTATTAAATTTATCAAATTTGTTAATCCCTTTTAATGACTTACCTTGCACAAGTTGTAACTTTCTTTAATCTATTTTAATTAATTTTTAAATCTATCAAATATAATAATTCATATTAAATGTCTTACTTTATTTAAAAACTATATTACTTGCACAATAATGAAATTAAGCCAAGAATATTATTTGGTCGATCACTAATAATTTACTAACCTTACAATAATTAATACATGTATTAATTAATTTTTCTTATTAGATATTACTTGCACAAGAATATAAATTAGTAAAATATGTATTAATAAATTTCCTTATTACAAATACGGAAAACAATTCACTCTTGATATCATATTGATTACATTGTTTAGTGCGATTTATAGATTTGTATCTAATTAGGATGTTTGTTATTATTAACTTACCTTATTAATATTGAATATATATTCTAATATATAGTTTCTATACAGTTTCTCATATGATTAATCGTATAGAATATATAATATTCTCAATAATTTATTAGAGAATATTATATTTATTAGCTTATCATGCAAGCTAAATCATTGAGAAACGTCCACCAATTTACTATATATAAGACATTCACAGTAGGAGAAACGAAGCCACTAAACTTTTTATTCTGAACTTTTTATGTTGATATTGTTTTGTTATTTTATATCATTAAGCTTTTATATATACATATTTCATCAGAGCTGACTTTTCTTTTGGTTTATATGCAGATGCCCTATTATAACGATTTCACCACGATGCAGGTAAATTTTTTTATCTTTCTATATGATTTGATTAATCGTAGATCTATTTGAATTCTAATTCTTACTTTTTTAAATATGTTCATAGGTATTGTCTTTCTATTTAATGATTGTTTGTTAGAGCTTAGAAGGAGAAGAATGCTTTCATATGTATTTTTCTATTGGTTTTTTAATTTACAATTTTAGTTTATATGCGCAGACCAACGATTATGACGTTTCCTCTTGTGGATCCATATGTACTTAAATCTTTCTTCACTTTCATGTTATTCAGAGACATGAACATTACAAATGATCATATCATCCAAAACACGTAAACTACAATGTAAGTTTCATGCTTTGTTACATTCTCTATGATTTTTCAAATAATTATTTGCTTATACACTAAAGAAAAAGAATCTTTAATCAATATTTTATTATAAAAGTTAGTATAACTTTTTATACATTTTATCAACTTTGTACTCAAAAATGATTTTATACAATTTATCATATTATAAAATGTATATCCTATAAGTTCATATATGTAAACTATATAGTTCTTTTTTGTCATCATAAACTATATAGTTCTATGTCAATTATAATATAACTTTATACAATTTATCACATAATAAATTATGTATATAATTCAGAGTTAGAGTATGATATGTGTAACATTTTTGTATATATTTCTAATACTAATGTTAGAATTAAATCGGTTATATACAAATTTCTATATTAAACATAAGTGATAAAACATAATTATTATATATTTCTATAGATTTACAATATATCAAAATCAAAACTATTTATTATTCTTTAATTTTATAACCATATTATAGTATTAAGAAATATATACCTTGTTGGTAGGCTTTTAATTAGTTAATTCGTTTATTAATAACTTGTCTTATTTTATTATCAGTTACTTGCACAAGTTGATACGATGATTACCTTATTGTGCCATCAGTTACTTGTCTTAAATGGTATGTTAATTATTGCAAATTTATGACAATCAATTTTTAATATCTTTTTTTGATTGCTTCATGTTTATTAAAAGGATACAAATATTACAAGAACCATAAGACTTTATATATCTCAAGAAATGTCTTTACAAGAATTTTTATAACAAATATTTCAGGAACCATAAGACTTAATGATAAAATATGATTATTAATTCGTAATTATTCTTTAAATTTGATATATTCTGATTTTTTATTATATATAATTCTAAAAGAAATAATCTTTTTAGGAAGTATTTTTTTAAATATACATTTAATTGAAAATTTTAAAAATTAAAATTTCGTGAAATATATGTCTATTAAGTAAATTTCTTGTTCTTTTATGATGTCATTTATTGGTAACTATATACATGTGATATTGCATTAAATGTGTATGTTTTTATTTCTTAATTAGTTAATTCGGAAATATGATGATTACCTTATTTTGCTATCAATTACTTGCACAAATTTATATGATAATGGTGATTTGAGTTAGAAAAGCCCAAAAATACTATCCATTTAGAAAACCACAAATATAATGGTGATTTGAGATTTAGAAAAGCCAAAACTATAATCTTTATTATATTTATATATATATATATATAAAAATATATGGATCTTAAAAATGTAATTTACTATATATATACATTTGTTTGTTCTTTCTATTAACAGATAAATAACACAGATGAAATACCGTTTGTAGTTGACTACAAACCATTTTTCAGTCTGTTTCAATAACGATATGCAAATTTAATATTATTTTCGACTCGATAAAATTTAGAAATCTATTAAATTATTTTATATTGTACAATTGCTAAAAAATTGACAATTTTTTTGAAGGTTTCTATGTGATTATTTTAATTCATAATTGTTCTTCTTATTTTATATTACTTATGAATTATATTTAAATTTTATCACATTTTCTATGGGATTGTGATATCTATGAGATTTTTATCACATTTTTTAATGTCACTGTCTCCTGTATATTTTCTTACATTTGTTTTTTAATAGTTAACTTTTATTAAAAACATACTAATGATGTTAATTTTTTTTTTTACTTTAGTTAACTTTCATTTGTTTTATTCTTATGTACTTTTTGTGACTT